GGTAGGAAAGAGTGATTCTTTCCCCACAAGTCTCAGCAAAAGTTTCTTTGTGTCTCCTTAGCCCAGGTTCGCTCAGCTGTCCATCCATCAGCCAATCTCTGTGTCAGGGGAATGCGACATACTGATTGGTTTAGGCTTAGCTCATGAACTGAGAATGGGGGGGGGAAGAGATTGCTAACTCACCAGTATGGGCAGCAGCATAAATGGAAGTTTGGCATATGCTCACCTCATGACCTCCACGCCCAAGTCCTCCCTTTACAGATGGGGAAACTGAGACCCAGAGGGGGTGGGGCACCTGGGAAGTTTGCAGTCCAGCTTGGACCTGCTGTTCTCTTGACTTCCAATGACTCCCAATAAGTCATTTGACTCACCCTCCAAATAAGGATCCAAGCCCTCCATACCACATAAGTGTCCCAGCCATGGGGAACCCTCACCCCATCCCTGTGGCCCATTTGCCTACGTCTTAGCCGGGAGGCTCAGTGAAAGCCTAGGCAGATCAGCTCTGAAATGATTCTCTCTGACAGGCTCTGGTCCCAGCCTCCATCCGTGCTGTGCTCTTCCTGGGGGAGCAGGAGGCCGCTCTCCAGCTGGAGGCATCTGACATCCAGGTGAGGGGGAGGCAGCATCGGCTGCGGCGGAGGGGAGGTGAGCTGGAGCTGAGCTGGGGTGAAGAATGGCAGAATTCACAAGCTAGGAGAGGCCCTGAAATAATCAAGGGTAGGTCCATTAGATACGAGTCCAGGATGCTACAACTCTTCTGCCCAGCCCCCATGGCAAGCATTGCCAAATCAGCCCCAGAATTATTTCTCCCTGGCAACCCTAGCAGCTCCCGGTGGGCACGACCACGTGATTGAGAGCTGCGCGCAGCATGAAACCCACTTGAAAGCTTCATCTTGTCAACCCCTCCCCCCTTCTTCTCAGATGGGGAAACTGAGGTCCAAGGCCACACAGCAAGCTAGAGGGGCCGTTTCCACACCTCACCTGGCCCTTCCTGTATCTCTCTCCCTAGTTTCTCTCAGCATCTCCAACTTAGATGCTAAGTTGATTCGGGACTTCACGGGAAAGAGCACTGCAGCTCCCTTTAATCAGTGCCATGTACCACGGCCACGAGCGTGGGCACCCTGCCCTCTGCCCTCTTTCAGGAAATGATTTTATTTTATTATTATTATTTTTATTTTTTGCGGTACGCGGGCCTCTGACTGTTGTGGCCTCTCCCGTTGCAGAGCACAGGCTCTGGACGCGCAGGCTCAGCGGCCATGGCTCACGGGCCCAGCCGCTCCGCGGCATGTGGGATCTTCCCGGACTGGGGCACAAACCCGCGTCCCCTGCATCGGCAGGCAGGCTCTCAACCACTGCGCCACCAGGGAAGCCCCAGGAAATGATTTTAAAGGTCTCCTTCTACCTCCTGGTTAGCAAAGAGGCACATTGTAAACTAGAGATGTAATTTTCAAGCTTTTAGGTGCCTATGAATTTCTTGCGGATTGTCAAAGTGCAGGTTCTGATTAAGTAGTTCTGGATGGGAGCTGGGATTCTGCATTCTAACGTGTTCCTAAGTCATGCTGGTGCTGCTGGTCCGTGGACCACACTTTAAATGCCAGGCATGAAAATGGGCTCCAAAACGCCACAGAATTCTCCCCATGCCAAGCTTAGGAGCCATTCACAGCATAAGCCTCAAGCATCACTGCCTGGGAGATGCAGTCACCTAGTCCCTGCTCCATGTCTTAGGGGATACTGTTAGGATTTGGTGACCTTTCTCAACAACCCCAAGAAGATAGCACCTTGATGGGTCTCCAGAGAACAGTACAATGATTACAGAGAAGTTACATGACATGGGCCAGCTTCAGTCGGTTTGTTTGATTGCCTGGACAGCTGTGCTGGGAAAGAGCCCAGCTCAGAAGGAAGGAGTTCCGTGATTGATTAATGTCTGCCTCGGGCACAGGCTAGGACAGTGGCAGTACGAATGCTGTTTATTTGCCATTTCTTACCCAGGGTATGGTTCTCAATTTTGATTTGTCAGAGTTTCCAGAGAAGATCCCTTGCCCAGAAAGCAGCTCTTAAAGCCAGGGCCAGCCTTACCCATGGGAAGTGGAGTGGTGCTGGGGCGTGGGTCTGGGCAGGACCTTCTCAAGCATCTGTCTCTACACTGAGTCCCCTGGTCCTTCTGACTTGCTTCTTTGTCTGCAGGTAGAGGTGCTGACCTCACTGAAGGCTCTCAGCCACCACGTGGACCCCAGCCAGCTGCCCATGGCCCTGGAAGGCCCCTTCCCCTACTGCCATGGTGAATGGGTGCAATTCTTCCAGGTGTCTACCATGGCAGCCTTCACCCCACACCCTCACCCCTTCTGTTTCTCCCTTCACCGTCCTGCCCCATGGATCCACTGAACTTAGCAGGTTCAAAGACAGTCATCGAACAAGTGTTTATAATGAGGGTGCACAGTGGAGGGGCCAGAAGCTCTGGGGCCAGAAGGCCTGGGTTTCAGTCCCAGCTCTGCTGTGTGACCTTGGGTAAGTTACACACCTTCTCAGAGCCCTCTTCCTCAATGACGAAATGGGGCTGATGTGAGGCTTGAGTTCATGTGTGTAAAGAGCTTAGAAGAGTGTCTGGCACATGCTAAGAGTGATGTTAGTGTTAACTGCAAATACATTTACAGACATCTGCTTTGTGGACACACAAAACTCGGGGAGCTTGGGGTCTGGTGAGGGAGGCAGATGTGCTCCCTCCTGTAAGAGGGAGGAAGTAAGGAAACTTCCAGGGCTGGGCTCCTTTCCTGTGTGACCTCAATCCTTCCTCACCGCAACCCTGCGAGAGGGCACCTCATGCCCGATTTAACACATGAGGATGCATAGGATGGGCACAACTGCCACAGCCACACACAGGAGCTTATGGGCTTAAACCGCACCAGGACCAGTCCTCATAGTTGCCCGCCCAGGGCTTTCTCTAGACCAGGGCAGCTCGACTTCAGCACTATTCACATTTGGGGTCAGATAATTCTTTTCTGGGGGAGCTGTTTGTGCACTGTCATGTGATTAACACCATCCTTGGGCCCTACCCACTCTGACAATAGCATCCTCCAAATTATGACAACCAAAAGTGTCTCCAGACATTGCCAAATGTCCCCTGGGGTACGAAACCATCACGCACGGAGAACCACTGGTCTATAGTCTAACGTGGCTGTTTGCTTATTTGCTTTCAGCCTGGTCCTCTTCTTTTTAAGATTGGGTCTATTTTTGAATAGACCCTGTGTTCAAAATTCAAATGGTACAAAAGGGTATGTACTGAAAAAATCTCTTCCTATTTGTCCCACAGGCCCCCAGTTCCCCTCTCCAGGGGCCTCCAATTAATCCAGGGGCTTTTGAACTATATTTTTGCTTTAAAACCTTCCCTTTAAATGAAATCTTAACTATAGAGCCAGCATGTAAAACTGATAATGAGGATGAGTATCGGTGCTATTCTAAGTGCCTAGCACAAATAAACCCATTTAGTCCTCCCACAAGCCTCTAAGGCAGGAAATGGGGAAATGATCCCATTTTGCAGAAGAGGAAGTAGAGGCACAGAGAGGTTAAGAAACTTGCCCAAGGCCTCAGAGCTAGTAAGTGGTGAAGCTGGGCTGAAGTGGGACCCGGAGAGGATGTCCTCTACCCCTGCCCTCTCACCCCCTCCTACCATTCCCTCTCCCACAGGCCTGGGAGTAGGTCAGGCCTGTCTTTTCTCTTTTTCTCTCTCATTCCCAGCATGAGTGGTTCTCCAACTGTGGTCCCTGGACCAGAAGCATCAGCATCACCTGGGAACCTGTTAGAAATGCACACTCTCAGGCCCCACCCCAGAGAAACTAAACCAGAAATTCAGGAGGAAGGCTCAGCAGCCTACTTTTTAACTGACTTTCCAGGTGATTCTGATGCAGCTAAAGTTTGAGAACCACCACCCCGTATGTCCTCCTGGTGGGAGGAGGGGAGAGGCACCCTCTTCACTGGCCCAGGCTAACATCCCCACTCTGGCCTCCTTTCCTGCAGAAGCTGGACCCTTTCCTTGCTGACCTCCGCCAGGCCTCCTCGCTGCTAAAGGCTTCCATCAAGGAGTTTGAGAAGGGTGACCCCCCTGGAGGGGTGCAGGTGAGACAAGAGCCTGAGGTGGGGAAACCACACCACACCCCTTATTTCATGGACCAATGGCTCAGTGAAGGGGCTCTGTTTTCATTCATTCATTCAACCGATACTTACTGGACAGTCATCATGTGTCACGACCTGGAGACCCAGCCTGGGGCAAATCGACTTGTCCCTGCCCTCATGGGGCTCATGGTACAGTGCAGAGTCAAAATTTAAAAAATAAACAGAAATGGACATGTCATTACCAGTGATGCTGAATGCTGTGAAAGTAAGATTGAGAAAAATGGGGAAGGAAGGTATAGAAGTTGAGCCTTGAAGGATGAGACGGAGCCATGGGACTTGGTCTGTTCAGGAAGAGCAAGGAGGCCAGTGTGGAACAGAGTGGGGGAGGGGAGGATAGAATGAGAGGATCTTCTGGATCCACGGGGCTGTATCAGGGAGGAGTTGGCTTGGGATTTGATTCTAAATGGGCAGAGAAGCCGCTGGAGAGTTCTAAGCAGCGGCACTAGGATGATCAGATTGGCACTTTGAGATCCATCCGGTTGTCGTTCAGAGAACAGACTGCAGGGGGAGCCAGAGTGCCTCAGAGAGATCAGTGAAGAGGCTGGGATGGGCATCCCAGCAAGAGATGATGGTGCTTGGACCAGTGAGGTTGCCACGGTGATGAGAGGAAGCTTGGCTTGAGGAGATGTTTTAGAGATAGAAAGGAGAGACTTTCTGTAGAACCTTGAACGCCAAACTGGGGGAGTCAGGCGTGATTGGGGTGTGGGGAGCCCTGGAAGGTTATAGAAGGAAAGTGGGGAATGAGCCTCAGGCTACCTCTCTACCCTGGCAGGAGGCCTCCAGGTGTCTGAGCAAGTCCAAGGAGCTGATGGAGGCTGTACTGAGGGACCCAGGCCTGTTGGGCCTCCAGCGGGAAGGCGGAGCCACCCTGGCCAGGCTGCGACAGGATGGCAGCAGGCTGAACTTCAACCCGGACGTCAGGTATGGACACCAGGCTTTTCCTTCCCCGCCCCATCCTATTCCCCAGACTGGGACTTGGGGGACTGGGTCACTTCGCTGAGGGGACACATAAGGTGGGCTCTGAAGATGCCCAGGATGGGGTGTTTGCCGGGCCCATATCCTGGACTGAGGCCTGATCACGGGCCCCCAGCCTATACCTTGGCAAGTCCCTTCTCTGCTGCCCCTCCTCAGCCCAGGCATCAGAGGACAGCACCCCCATTTCTGGTCACTGTCATGGACCAAGGATGCTCTCTGACCCAGACACTGGGCTGAGACCCTTTAAGAGCCCACCTCTTATTCCTCAAAAGACCATGTGAGGCTCACATCCTCCTATTTGGCTGATAAATACCTGAGGCTAAGAGAAGGGAAGTAACAGCCAGACCAGCTGAGCACTAACCCATGCACTGCCCTACCCTTCGTGGCAGGGGCCAGGGGAACCTCGTGCTGTGCCAGGGTCACAGAACCACAGAGCAAGAAATACGCATTCCTAGGAAGAAGCAATTTTCTTAAATTTAGGAGTGGGGTGGAGGAGAGGTGCAAATCAGTAATTAAATCAGCCGGCAGTTGTATATATTTTATCTCTGTCAGAATGAACACAACTACAAAGTTTGCATAATCCGAGAACATTTTATTTATTTAACCTCCTCCTCCCAATAGCACTGTATGAACACAGCATTGTTCTGAGGGCTTTAAGAATATTAATGTGGTTAATTCCCACCCACGAAGGGGCTCCTAGTATTATCCTCATTTTACAGTGGAGGAGCCTGAGGTTCAGAGAGAGGTTAAGTGACTTGCCCAGGGCCACACAGCTGGGATGTGGTGGGGCTGAGACTTGAACCCGGGCAGTCTAGCCCAGAATCTTGAACACACCACCCTGAGCTCTGCCCACAGAGAGATTCATGCTGATGTGAGTGCTGGGCGGCAGTGGACCCTGCCGCTCAGTGTGGAGTTGTCCTCACTGCCCCTCACACAGCCTGGTGGGGCTGGCACTGCCTTTCCCAGCATGCCCCTGCCTCACTAACTAGGCCCCCAAGCCCCTTTGGTCCAACGTAGGCCCCTAGAGAGCGTTGGCCACCAGCAGCTCCACCAGGGAGCGCTGTGGTCCCACGTGAGCCGCTGCGTGTTTCTTAGGCAGCTCCTGCCTGCCCGCCCGTTTCTCCCTCCCTTTGCCAGACAGACTGGCATTTTCCATCCCGTTCACGCACCCTGGGTGCTCACCCCTTCCATGGAAGGGCAGTGACCTGTGGGAAGCTACAGTCAGATAAGGAGGCTTAGGGCAAGGCTCCCTCCAGGAAAACGGGCTCTCCTTCCATCTCCTCTTTTTCCTTTTCCTTCTAAAGGACCCCAAGGGCAGAGGAGGGTGGGGTGGGATTTGAGGGATGTTGGGAAAGCCCTGAGATTCCTCCCTTCACCCAAGTTTCTCCTGAAATCCCATCTGCACCCCTTCATTTATGTCTTGCTGGCTTTGATCATTTTTTTAAATCATGTGCAAAGAAGGCCGTGGACTGAGTTCTGATTCAGACTGCCATGCGTGTGAGTCAGAACCTCTCTCTGGAGGATCAGTTTTCCTATGTGTAAATGTTTTCCTATCTGTAAAATAGAGACCAGAGTGGAGAGGTGTGTTACAGCCACTTGTCATCATTACAATAGAAATAACAAGCGCTTTGTAAATAAGTTCGTTTGTACCATTTTTTTAGATTCCACATATAAGCAAATGAACTTATTTACAAAACAGAAGTAGAGTCACAAAAGTAGAAAATAAACCTGTGGTTACCAGCAGGAAGGGGGAGGGAGGGATAAATTGGGAGATCGGGCTTGACATATACACACTATTGTATATAAAATAGCTAACTAATAAGGACCTACTGTATAGCACAGGGACCTCTACTCAGTACTCTGTAATGACCTATATGGGAAAAGAATCTAAAAAAGAGTGGAGATATGTATATGTATAACTGATTCACTTTGCTGTACAGCAGAAACTAATGCAACATTTTAAATCAACTATACTCCAATAAAAATTAATTAAAAGTAAAAAATTAATTAAAAATAAAAAAGAAATAACAAGCGCTAACAGCACCATGGGCCAGGCACTGTGTTAAGTGTTTTGAGTGCGTGAGGGCGGGTTTGCCTGAGGAGCTTTGGAAAGCGCTGAGGTCCAGGCCACTCTCTGAGCAGGACTCTGGTGGGTCGGGGAGGAGCCTGGGCATTGAGATTTTTAAAGCTCCCAGAGCAGGTTCTAATTGTGTTGCCAGGGTTGAGAGCCAAGGGGTTAGATCATTTAATTCTCACAACCCCCCTGTGAAATGGGTTCTTTTATCCCCATTTTTTATAGCTGAAGAAATGGAGACAGAAATGTTGAGAAATTTGCACAGGGTTCTGTTACTAGAAGGTAGCAGGGCTGGGATTTGAACCCAGATCTCTCCAGCTCGGTTCATACCCTCCTGGGGAAAGGGAGGGTCATTTGGTTTCTCGCTGTGTCCTCTGGTCCTCCCAGTCCCACAGAAGGCCAAGGCTGAGGCCCAGAGAGGAGTAGGGACCTGCCCAAGCTCACACAGCAAGTCAGCAGCTGAAATACCCAGGCCAGGGCCACAGAGCTGGTGGGAGCCGGGGAGGCATGCCTATGCTGGGCAGGAGTGCTGGGGCTCCAGGGCAGGGGGGTCAGTATCTTGGGTTTTCTCTCACACTCCTTGGCCTCCCAGGAGCCATCTGGCCGAAGCTGCTGCCCTGTACAGCCTCGTGGATGAACAGCTGCATGTCCTCGTCACTGTGTCCAACCACCTCCTGAGGAGGCTGGAGCTCCGCGTCCGTCTGGGCCGCCTGGAAGCTGCCATCCACCAGGTGAGAGAGGAGGATGCTGGCCCTGGGATGTGAGGGGGGTGGGTGGCTCCTGCCTCTCCAGGCCCCACCCCAGCCAGGCGCTTTGCTCTGGTAAAACGACACCAGGCAGGCATTCTTGGAGCACATGACATGCACTCCATAGTGCTTGATAGGTGAAGACATAACTCCAGAAGCTGCATTTCTTAAACACCAACTTTGCGCCAAGCCCTGGGCCAGAGCCCTTGTGTCCATCACCGCTTTCCAACCTCATCCCTTACCAGTGATGTGGGGAAGATGCTAGGATTTCTCCTACTCATCGATAAGGAAACTGAGACTGGGAGACATTATGTCATCTGCCCATGGTCGCACACCTAGGGGTCTGATCCTGGAGCCCACACCTGGCACCACTCTGTCCAGCTGTTGATGCCTAGAACCAACGCATCCCTTCATGCTCTGGGCCGTGCAACACAGTGTGCCTGGAACCAGACAGCCTGGTTCCAATGCTGTCTCTAACACTTACTAGCGGTGTGACCCTAGACAAGGTATTTAACTATTCAGTGCCTCGGTTTCCTCACCTGTTAAATGGGGGTTAATATTAGTGCCTGCCGCATGGGGCTTTGTGAGGATAAAGTGGGCGATGCTTTTTAAGACACCCCAGGATACGAAGAAGACTTCTGCTTATGGGATCGAGACCCATTTTACCCGCTCTGTCCTTCCTTGAATCCTCACGCCTACCCCATTTTGCCACTGAATAAACTGAAGCCCAGAAAGGGGAAGTGACTTGCGCAGTTCACACAGGGAGTTCGTGGCAGGGCCGTGCACCTTCCTCTGGCGCTGTGTGGATGCTGTGAACCACGCCCCACCGCCACCCCAAGCTGTCACTTCTCCTCCCCAGCATTGGGAGGGTTTCAGTCCAGGCCGGTGGCATAGGCCCAGCCCCCAGATGACTGAGGACAAGATTTCAGCTTCCCAGGAAGGTGGCGAACTGGCCTCAGGATGTCTCCTCAGCAGTCCTTCATGTCCAAACCTCCCTCCTCTGCCCCAGGTCAGCAACTGGATGGAGCAGGAAGGAAGCCAGTGCCTGCAAGTGCTGACCCCCAAGGACGGAAGCTTGGAGACAGTGGAGAAAGCCCACTCAGAGTTTGAGGACTTCTTCCTTCAGGCTGTGGTGTGTTTCCAGAGCTGAGGGGGGCAGTGGGAGCAGATAGAGAGGGCAGGAGACGGGGGTGGCACTGCTGGGGAAAAGCTGCGGAGGCGTGGAAGTGAAAGAAAGCTTCCCAAGACAGTGAGGAGAGCAACTTGGAACACAAAGCATTCAGCTTAGATATTGTCTCCTCCAGGAAGCCTTCCCTGACTACCAAGTGCAAAGATGACCCACCTCAGAATGCCTGGAGGATTTCTTGAAATACACATTCCAGGGTCCTACCCTAGCCCTACTGAGTCAGCCTCAGAGAGCTGGGGTGGGGGGAGAGAATCTGCATCCTTGATGTGCTGGGTCCTGGGGCACAGGGTGATTCAGCCTCTGTTTCAGCCCTCGGGGAACTTCCAGGCCAGTGGAGGGTAGAGACAAGATGGGGGGCTGGGGGCAACAGGGAAATAGCCAGAAAGGGAGAACTGTGGGGACACAGGTGAGGAGCCTGTAACCCAGACTCTGGGGTTGGACAATTTTGCCAGAAGAGGGTGACGCTAAGCAGAATCCCAGCAGGCAAAGTAAACCCTGTGTTCCCATTTTATAGATGAGGAAACTGAGGCTCAGGAAGTCTCATAATCCGGTAGTAAGGCTGGAGCTGAGTAGACACCCCTCCCCTCCCTGCTCAGGCCCAGTACCGCCGTGGCCTGGAGCTGTGCAAGCAGGCGGCCCAGCTGGGAGCTGCAGCCAGGGCCAGGGAGGCGGGAGGAACAGAGCTCCGGGAGCTGGCAGGCTTCACCTTCACCCAGCGGGCCTTCCAGGCTAAGCTGACCCACTTCTACATGGCAGCCGAGCGGCAACGCACAGACCTGGAGACGCTGCTCCACCTCCACCACTTCTGCAAGAAGGTGAGCCTGGCAGCCCACCTGCATAGACTCCCCGCCCCCCCACACACACCTAGGACGTAGGGTGGGGGCAGAGAGCAGCCTAGACACAGCACTAGGCTCTTTTCATTCCATAGCCCTGTGAGGGGGAAAACGCATTACCTGCATTTTCCAGAAGGGAAACAAGGTTTGCAAGGTTAAGTTACCCTCCTTAAACCAGGTCCAGCTAATCCCTGACCCCAGCTTGTCCGACTACACAAGCAGTCTCCCAGTGACCCAGATATCATCTCTCAAAGGATATCACCTGCTTCTTAAACGTTGGGATTAGGGGAAGGATCCTGGGGATTTCAGAGAATCTGGTCAAAGCCATAGACTTTCCCTCCACACATAGACCTCTGCAGGCAACTTCACAGGGTTAGGACCAGGCTCAGAACCTTGATCTTGTCCCACCCCTTTATTGCAGTGTTAGGGAAACAGGATCAGAGAAGTGCCATCACTTAGCCAAGGTCACACAGCAAGCCATGGCACCATTCTTGTTCTCTTTCCCATGCCCCACCTTGCCCTGCACAGATGGGTTGGAGGGGACAGCTGGGGAAGGAAGGAAGGAAGGGACAGTTGGCTGAGGGTGGGCCCAGAGGCTGCTCTGAGCATCCTCAGAACAGAGGCCTCAGTCCTCACCAGGAACCCAGCGTTTGGCCAGGAGGGAGGAGGGGGTAGGGCTACTGGGGCAAGGGTCGGGGGCATGGGCAGAGGTGAGTTAGGAAGCAAGAATAACTCCATTACTTTGCATCTGTCATCTCTTGGAACCCAATGTGGCAAGGTTGACCAGCTCCATTGTACAGATGAGGAAACTGAGGGCCCAGAGAGGGGTAGCACCTTGCCCGAGGCCACACAGCTAGAGAAAAGAAGAGCTGGAATTTGAACCCAGATGTGTCCATGTGCTATGTTCTCCAAAGGAGAGGGAAATGACAAGCAGTTCTTGTGTCCAAGCAGATGTGATGACGATGGTAATGAGGGTTAGATGACTATTATGGGGTAGCCCACATTATTGACTGTGTTCACCACGCCAGACCCTCCTAAAAGCACTTTGCATACCTTGCCCGATTTAATTCTCATCATATCTTTGTGATGGAGGGGCACCAACATTGTTTCCACTTTACAGATGAAGAAACTAAGGTCCAAAGAGGAAAGTGGCTTTCTCAACATCCCCTAGCCCTGTTGGTCAAGCAGGATTTGACTTCAGAGACCCCCACCCCTCTTAAATCCATTTAGCCAAATCCCTCGTTTTTCTGCTGGGGAAACTGAGGCCCAGGGGGAGCAAGGGAGCAGCCTGAGAGAGCTGTAACCCAGATGAGACAAGAACCCACACCTCTGGCCTGGGCCCAGTGCCCTCAGCTTCCCCTCGCACTGGCCACTGATGATGGAGCACGGGAAGAGCCTGACCCCAGCCTCCCAGCTGTCAGGCCAGCCCAGTACACAGGCCACCAAGAACGCAGATGCTTCGGGGGCAGCGGGAGGGACTTGGTCAACTCACACCTGGGGCACTGGGAGGACAGGCCACTCTCTGTCTCCCTCAGGCAAGGGAGGTAGATGCGGTACGCGGGCCTCTCACTGCTGTGGCCTGGCCTCTCCCGCTGCAGAGCACAGGCTCCGGAAGCACAGGCTCAGCAGCCATGGCTCACAGGCCCAGCCGCTCCGCGGCATGTGGGATCTTCCCGGACCTGGGCACGAACCTGTGTCTCCTGCATTGGCAGGCAGACTCTTAACCACTGCGCCACCAGGGAAGCCCTGGAATTATTATTTTTAACACCGATGTTATTATTGTCATTAGCAGTAGTGGTAGGAGGAGTAATGCCTCATGGATTAAGGGGATCTGGAAGCTTCATTCCCTTGTTTACTAATTTTAGCTGATTTCAGCCCCATCGGCCTTCCCTGGAGAAAGCAAACTGGCTCCAGCACTGAGGCCTTTGCACTGGCTGTTCCCTCAGCCTGGAAAGCTCTTCCCCTCGACAGCACCTTCTCCTCTCTGGCCCTGAATTTTAATCCGCACAGCAAGGGGTGGGGCAAGATGATTTCTGAGGTGTTCTCCACCTCTGTCCAGCTTGGCCTGGAATATCTGGTCCCAGACAGACAGATGGACAGACAGGACGGCTCAGTGCTGGGCTCAGCCCCAGGTGGAGAGCAGGCATGCGGCAGCTTTGGCACTAAATAATAATAACACGATTGTGTCGCTAACGGAGATTTATGGAGCCCTTTCCCAGCCATGAGCTCAGTGTGCTTCTGCAAATATGAAGCCATTTATCTAAAGATAAGTTCTCTTAATCCGTGGAAAGATGGTTGCCTCGGAGAAAATTGTTCTCCAATCCCCACTGCCTAACAGCTTGCTGTTGGCTTCTAAATTAATGGAGAGAAAGATTATGTTTTTCATGAGCTGCTGGGAACATGTTGGCTCCTTTGCAACCTGCAGACATTTTGTGGGTGAAGTGGGTACAGGCAGGATCCTAAAATGCGGCAGAGGCCCGGCCAGAGCGAGGGGGCCTCCGGGCCTGGGCTGACAGTCTCACTGTGTGACTGCAAGGGCAGGGCCCTGCCTGGGCCAGTTTCTCCTGTGCAAAGAGGTGCTTGGAAGATACCCTCTTGAGGGCTGGACAGAGCTGAGTTTGAATCCCAGCTCCTCCCTGACTTGCAGCGTGACCTGGGACAAGTGATTTCACATGTGTGAGCCTCAGTTTCCTCCTCTGTAAAATGGGCTGCTGGTTCAGTGTGATCCTACATGAGATGCACAGAGCCTGGCAAACAGTGTTCAATAAATATTAGCCAGACTCCTCCCTCAGCACCACTTATGAGGGGTTCATACAATCTGAGAATCCAAATTTTCAGCACTCAAATTTTCATGATTATGTATCACAACATCTACTTTACTGAGGGGGAAACTGAGCCCCAGAGAGGGGTGAGTCCTTGCTGGCCCCTAAGTCTGTAAGACTGTGCCTGAAGATCCCAAGGGTGCTGGGGACTGTTTCCCAGTGGGTAACGGAGGGTGGTGTTCCCTGGGGAAGAAAGGGAAATATTGTCATCATCAGCTGTGTTAAGAGAGGCCCTAACACTGATTGGACATCTTTGTATTAATTCAGTCTAGCTGTATTTGTTCTTTAAGCCTCCTCTTGGCTCAGAGAGGCCTATCCCTGTCCTCACGGAGCCCCCATCTCCCTCCCTTCTTGTCTCCCAGATGACCTGGTTCCACATGGACTGCCAGGACCTGATGGCCCAGCTCAGGCTGGGAAAGGCCCAAAGGGCCAGCCCTGGGGACCAGCGCCGCCTCCACCGCTACCTGCAGCGCCTGGCGTCCGAGTTCCCTGCTGAGAAGCTCACGGCCATGCGGCTGCAGGTGGCCTCTCTGAGCTGGGAGGGCCTGGGCCAGGACCTGTGGGAGGAGGCCCGGGAGAGGCACGAGGAGATCCAGACCCTCCTGAAGAAGGCACTGGCCCACTGTCCATGCCCGGCAGGTCCCCCTTCCCACCCAGCGGGCCGGGAACTCAGAGGGGCGGCCGCCAAGGGCCAGGCCCTGAATGGAGAAGTCACTTACAAGGGAAGATGGGACCTGCCCCTCCAGGACTCACTGGGTCTGGATCGTTTGCCAAAATCCTGTTGGCCTCCTTGGGCCCCCAGACGTGTACAGAACAGAAATTTCCAAGCAGCCCCTCCACCCCAGGAAGCTGGCCAGGCTTTTGAAGCTGATGACGGCAGAAGCCCGCGTGGGCCCCTGGATCCTGCCCCTGAACATTTTCTCACCACCTTCCTCTCCTGGCAGCGGCTCCCCATGCAGAGTCAGATCCCCCGGCCCACTGGGGGCAGCTTCTCCTCGGAGGGGACAGACTCACAGACGTCTCTGGAGGACTCACCCCACACAAGTCCCCCTGCATCCCTCTAGCTGGGAGTTCCCATCAATCACACCAGGCTCCGGCAGGGATGGGTATGGTTCGGGTGGGGCCCAGCTAAAGACAGAGCTGGAGAGCCCTGGACCATCCGTCAGGACGTGGCTACTGAGTTTGGCCCGTGCTCGGTAGACAAGAACTCACGCCTGCTCCCGGCCCCAGGAAGCTCTGGGAAGACGCGACTCTCACACATTCAGAATAGTGAGAGTGGAGGGCAGGGCAGGACGCGGAAGAGCG